TTAAATAAAACAGGTCAAAAGTGTGCAATGTTTTTCTTTAGCTGCTATTCTCTAAGGTTATCTCTGATATTATCAATTTAAAAATTTCCTGATACCAGCCTGAATGATCTGTTAGGTCTCAGGTCTTCTATCTGCTTCTCTCTCATAGAAATAAGGCCATCCACACTGCACTCTGTCCTGTAGGAAGAACTGATGGTTGTGACTATAGGAATTCATGCTCCAGTGTGGGAAGACCAAAGCAAGCCTAATCTCTCCTCTACAAAATTGTTTTTCCTTCCCTTGTGACTCTTTACATGTGAACCAGGCCAGACTAAATCATGTGGGGTAGAATTTTCTGCAATCATTCCATGAAAACATCCTTTATTTCTCTGAAAATGGGTGGGTCAGTCTGTTTCTGCAGGAGTCCCATATAGTGTAGATGACAACTCTCTCTCCTAGTCTCCCACATTGAATTATCTCTCCTAATGAAGTTCCTTTCAAGCTTTTAAAAGAGAAAATACGCTCTCACTTTAAGACCTCATTGTCTTGTGTCTGTGATAATGCTCTGTCTCTCCTAATTCCAACTCTACTTCAAGGCCCAAACATGTCCTTGCCCCATTGTCATGAGACACTCTCCTAAAAAAGCTTATCCTGAAGTAGTTTCATCTGAGTTATTTTTCCAAAACAGCAAGCCTGAATTTTTTTTATAACACTCCCCTGTCTTGACATTTTCTGTCAAACAAACTATCTCATCATCGTTTAATTTGTCATGGGAATCTGGAAATTCAATCTCTTTTATCTTCCCCACAATGGTTTTAAAAACATGGTCCTTCTTGATTTCTCTGGTACATTTTGAATATTTTTCTGTTTTTACTTACTCTTAGCTTGTGTAGAAAATGTCTTCCTCTATATTATTTTGCAACATGTTATATTTGTCTATATTATCATGTGTTTGCCAGAGAGATATTTTGCTAAAACTTTGATTACATTTTTTCTCCATTACATTGTAAATATTTTTCTTCCCCAAACACTTAATTTTCAATCACATAATCTAATGTGAACCTTTATGGAATAATATTTATTGCAAGTTCACTGATATTAGACTATTGTCCTAGTACACATAGCTGTCTTTGCTCTCTGCTTTGTGTGCAAGTAATGATAATATAACATCTACTCTACACTACAATGTCTAGCATTAATAACTGTGAAAAGAAATTTACTTGAATGTGAGCCGCATGGACTGCAGTGTTCTTTTATAGGAGCACCAACTGTCCTCTCATCCCTCAAATTTGAAAACTTTTAAATCTTAACATTTCCCAAATAGTTGTATTCATCGACTTGTATTCATCTACATCTATTCTTCCACTTCTGAGATTCAGGTGACATAAAATTTGCTCTTAGACACAATGGTACAGGACTTCAGTTGACTATTAATGTATTCAAAATTAAAATGTAATTACATCATTTCATCATTCTCTTCCCTCTCTACAATCACCCCTTGCATGTATCCAGCATTGTTGTCTCTCAGATATATTTCTTCCTTTTCAATAAATTGTTGTGGAATATATGAATACAACTTGCTTTGCATGTACTATATTCCTTGCTTAAATGTGATTTCAGTGCAGACTCCTTAGTTTTGACAACCAAATTGGCACTATCTTTTAATAATATTTATTAGGACAGTATGAATCTTAAAGATGTTTTTCTTGGCAACTTATTTTTGCATCAGCCAAGATGGGAAAATTAGGGTGCAGTCAATGAATTACTACCACATGAAGGCAGATATAAAGGCTTTCCTGAAGCTTCTCCTAAATTGAAAAAGTTTATTCTTCATAGAAACTAGTATTTTGATAGAGGAATGAAATCAATAGTTGCTAGTTGCTCAAGGAATTGACCTACCAATTCTTCTAGTAACCTTTTTGAGCAATTTGGCTTATGACAGTATTTATGAATTTGTAAAGTGTATTATATACACAGCACACAGCTTTAAGACCTCATTATTGGACTCAAGAACCATTGTTTCCTGCCAGGGAATACTTCACTGTCTATATGTGAAATAGTTTTATGATGACAGATAGTATTTTTTCTGGACCATCCCCTTAGTCAGTTAGATACCCCATATATTTTCCTACAATTGAAGCAATATCCTTTAATCAGAGGTCAGGATAAGCATATCCTTCATTTATAGGTGTCTTGGGGTTTAGAAACTGAGAACATTCCCTAATTATGACACAATTTGTATATGTATTTGTGTGTAAAATATTCAATCTATTTAGAAGAACTGATGTTAACAGTTGCTATTTTATTAGGCCTGCCAAGATGGATGAGCAGTTAAGAGTATTTGTAACTCTTCCTGAGGATCCAGGTTTAGTTCTGGGCAACCATGTGGTGTCACACCTCTTAACTCTATTTTGAGGGGATTCATTTCTGTCCTCCCTAGGCACTACATGCATGTGGTACACATTCATGCGCAAAGGCAAAATCCATTCACATAAAATAAAATAAATAAAACATAACAGGGTTAGAATTAATTAAATTCTCCTGATTTGATCATACTGTGCCTTATGAATGTCACACATGACACACCATGCCACACTTAAGTTGTTTTCTGTCAGTAATGTGATTGCAACTACAAGAAAAGTAGCAGACACATGTTGACTGATTTTTGCTATTAAATGGACTTCAGAGAACAGTGGATGTTGACTTGATCTGCTAAAATCCACAAAACTATGTTGGAAAATTGATCTTAAAACATAACCATGAATAGTTTTCTTAAAATTTTAAGTAAGTTGCAGGAGGCAATTTTATCTATCTATCTATCTATCTATCTATCTATCTATCTATCTATCTACCTACCTACCTATCTATCTATCTATCTATCTATCTATCTATCTATCTATCTATCTATCTATCTATCTATTTATCTATATGCTCGAGTTTGAGTTCAGGACTCAAGCAAGTCAAGCAAGTACTCAATGACACAGGATTATACAGCACAGACTTTAGGTGATATTTTTAGGCTACATGTTGACATTGATGAGGTATTAGATTACTGAAGGAGTATTTTGTCTTCTATCAATATTCAGTAGGCAGTATAGTTGACTATATAGTAGTATATAGACATCTATAGATAGAGATGTGAAGATAGATATGAAGAAAGGATATTGGAATACACATGGGGAGCATTAGATGGAATGTATAGAGGATTTAGAATGAACACAATCAATGCACACATTTATGAAGTTATCAAAGATTAAATCATATAAAGATCAGAATAGACAATGATGCTAAGATACTAAACACAAAGGAAATAAGAAAGAAATTTTTCTTCCCTGTCTTAAGGGTCTTATTTTGGTTTCTTGAATGAGCTAAATGTAGGTATTTTCCTGATATCCTTTTTGTATAATTGCATTTTTCCGCTTGAGTGATTTATGATATTGATTGTTTATGTATAATTGTTTTTAACATATATTTATTTTCACAATGTTGTTCTTTTTAGGGTCAGTAGCCACAGGGTTCTCTGTTTACTGGCCCTGACTGTCCTGAAACTCCTTTTGTAGATAGGGCTGGCCTCAAACTAACGGAGATCCACCTGCTTCTGCTTCCCAAGTGCTGCGATTAATTAAAGTCCTGTACCATCACAGAACTGTCTATTATTAGGTTTACTTGATGATTTTTTCAAAACCTTTCTTACATCTAACCCCTACCTATATCTTTTATGTAAATTTGGTAGGTTCTAGATATTCTTGGGATTTCCCAAAGAGATTCCCCTCCCTTATTATGAAAGAAATCATAGTCATTAGGGTTGGTGATAATGTTGTTTTAGGCCTGCATCAAAATCTGCAAAAATAAAAAAAAAACAAGCAGGGAACTCATCTAGAACACAAGGAAGTTTGATGAATCATTCAGAATTCTGACAATCATGATAATGAGTGGTTTCACTGGGATACACAGTTTCACTAAACTTGTAGATGAATGTGGTTAATATGTGTCTATGATACTGCATAGGAACTTTAACAAATCCTGACATTCCATCTACACTTCTCACTTCTATAACAGATTCATGGCAATTCAAGGAATTACATAAATAAATGACTGAATGTAAACATGTCTGAGAGACCCCAATTTTCACTTCTGAGAATCAACTACAATATTACTACCAAATAATCACTCAAGTTTTCATAAAGAATTATGTGGATGGGGAGAGAAGGATCTGATCTTGGTGAAGCAATAAAATTCAAAGAGAACATTCAAAGAACAGCAAATTCAGCTTCTATAAATTAAAATCAAACATAATGGAAGTTTTAAGGATTCATCAGTCACTAGAGATTCTGTACATTTTATACTTTTAGTTTTTAATTAAGATTCAGTAAAATGTGAAGAAAAATGGATGAATAATTGCAAACCTAACAAAACTAGACTGTTTCAAAATATAGTAAAGCAATTTAAAATTTTCATTTGCCCATAAGGCCCAAGTATATGATATTTATAAAAAAAAGGACTAGAAAATTAATGAACATCATGTCCCCTAGATAACACTGCTTTTATCGGACTATCCAAGTCAGAGAAAGAAAGTGACCTTGTTGATACTTGAATGCCCATAGAATATTAGCTGCAGGAACAGTGTCTACCTCACATGTAAATTGAGAACTGAGACAACATTACCTGTAAGAAACAAAGACCCCTTTTACAGATATTCCTAGGAAGCTATTCCCAAGTGTACTGCTAAAACAAGGCATATGACATGTTTATGCAGTTTAATCTTGAAATCCATGTTTTATTTGAAGTCTCATACTACCATCATAAGTGTCTGGGAAATACAGCAAAGATGTGGGTAGAACTCTAGGTAAGACCAAAGTAACAAGGGAGTTTGTCAAGTAATAGTTGACTGATTTGTAAAGGAAGAAAGAGGGATCCTTCCAGAAGTAACCAAATGAATGGGTCTATCATCACCTTACATGTGGCCTTATGCCCCAGATTTCACACACTCATGCTCAGAAGAAACAACAGCAAACAGTAACTGCATGCTAAATGTTTTATTAGAATGTTGAAGGTACACTTACAACATCATTGTTCCATTGAAATAACATTAAAGGTATTTGTCTTCTACTTCACCTGAAATAAATGAATAAAAAGGGTCAGGGAGAAGAGAAATACAATGTGCAATTCCAACATTTCCTGAAGTATCTCTTACTTTTTTATGGATTTCTAATGTTGTTAGAGTTAAGGCATTTGATAAAGAGTTAATTTAAATCACAAACATTATAGAATTTCCAGTTATAGGAGCCATTTAATTTTTAGATGTATATATGATTTATGCCTTAAGGAAGAAGGTGGTGGTCTTTACAGTTGGGAGCTGGTGTGAAGGACAATGTATCTGATTACCTTTTTACTGCTGAGGAACCTCTTGGTTATGCATAAAACGTTTACTGGGAACTTGGCTCTTCCTCACTTCCTTCCTGGGGTGGGCTTGGCTGGTTTCCAGGCTGAGGGCCTTGGTTCTGTTGTGGGCCTCCCTGTGGGGGTGGGCCTTGCTGGTTTCCAGGCTGAGGGCCTTGGTTCTGTTGTGGGCCTCCCTGTGGGGGTGGGCCTTGCTGGTTTCCAGGCTGAGGGCCTTGGTTCTGTTGTGGGCCTCCTTGTGGGGGTGGGCCTTGATGGTTTCCAGGCCTAGGAGGGCGTTTCTGCTGTGGGCCTCCTTGTGGGGGTGGGCCTTGCTGGTTTCCAGGCCGAGGGCCTTGGTGCTGTTGTGGGCCTCCCTGTGGGGGTGGGCCTTGATGGTTTCCAGGCCTAGGAGGGCGTTTCTGCTGTGGGCCTCTTTGTGGGGGTGGGCCTTGCTGGTTTCCAGGCTGAGGGCCTTGGTGCTGTTGTGGGCCTCCCTGTGGGGGTGGGCCTTGCTGGTTTCCAGGATGAGGGCCTTGGTTCTGCTGAGGGCCTCCATGTGGGGGTGGGCCATGATGGTTTCCAGGTTTAGGAGGACGAGGTTTCTGGTGGTCATCTCCTTGCTGTGGTGGTCCCTCTGGTGCATTTCCATCTTCTTCACCATCATCATCACCTTCTTCTTCAGATGCAGAAGGTTTTGGGGGGGATTCTCCAGGTGGGGGTCTCTGTTGTTCAGGGCCTTGGCCTTGCTGCTCTTCCTCTGCATGGGTAGATATCAATGGAAGAGGAGCTCACATGCTGTCTTTCTCCCAGACCATCCTCCCAGCTCTATGCCCCTGCTTCTTCTTGAGCTTAATTTTACATTCAGCATATGATATTTCTTGTGCCTCAAGTCTTTGGACAAAGATGTTTCTTAAATTTGGTACATTAAAGGTGTTATTGTGTTCCTTTCAGTTGTCATAAAGAAGTGTAGAAAATGGAATGATTTGTAAATGTCACTGGTTAGAACTTGGCAGAACAGTAAAATTGTGACAGCAATGCTCTATTCTTAAATATATCATTGTACTCAGTTTCCTATAATCATGTGGAGAACAAGAAAGAAATGTAGGCAATAGATGAAAAGATGTTTCATTCAATTTTTTATGAAGTGAATTTTTATGTATTATTCAGTTGTGGCTACAGAGTTGAGTAACAAAATTAAATAAAAAAATAAGAGAGCATGAGACTGTGTAATTCCATGCAATAGTATATAATTCTACTTGTAGTCACTGGCGAAATAAGAATTCTTTGAGCAACCTGTAGTGCCATGATGGAATTTAAATGAGGATACCCAATATGCTCATTATATGCAAGGTCTTGATTCAATCTGTGGAAAGACAAAATGTTCCTCTTATAAAACCTGGCTTTCTCCTCTGTCAGTGTATAGTCCTGCTATCGGTCCTAGAGGCAACATTGGGAAGTTTTCTTGTATAACTCAGGGGAAGCTATCACACATTAATTTCATAAAATAACAAAATGATACAGACTTTACATAGCCAAATATTGAGTAAAGTTTGCCTAGAGGATGAATCTGACTTTACCTAAGACCTGAGAAGAAGAGTCTTCATAGATGATCTCTAGGAAAAAAAAGCACAAAATAAGTTTAAAGTTAATTATGACATTTCAGTCTCAGTAAAGAGGACTTTCAACCACAACCTCATATCCACTAAACAGAATTTTATTCTTAGCTAATGTTGTTGGAATGATATCTATGATCAGTAGCCACAGCTATTTTGTTCCTTAATAGCTATGTCAGCCTTTACTGTTAGTGTTCATTTAAATTCTGGGAATTTCAAATATCACAGGTTTACATTATTTATGTTTTTTGTCATGACCCTCACTTCATATATCCACAGGCATTAAAGGCAATTAAATATGAATATTTCCTTAAATCTTATCAAATAATGAATATTTCCTATAGGATGTTAAAATCGAGAAATAGGTCCAGCAAGATATCTCAGTGGGTAACAGTACATGCTTGATGACCTGAATCCAGTTCCTGGAATCACATGGTAGAAAGAGAAATCTTTCTGCCAATACTTGTCCTCTGACTGGAATGCGAATAAGCATACAAACATTCTCTCCTTCCTTCTGTCTGTCTGCCTCTCCATATATATATATGTATATATGTATGTATATATGCATACACAGGCAATTATGCATACACACTCATGCACTAAAATAATTTTTAAAAGAAATTATTCTCTGATATTTCAAGCTTGTTTTGTACAGAATTTCAAATTCATTATATTTTTACTTTTTTCAAAAACATCTCTGCTATATGTTTACTACCTTCATTTTCTCTGTACTCTACACAGTAATTCACCTCTCCTTCTCCTAACACCTTAAGAACTGTGTTTCTCTCTGTCAGCAGTAACGCAGTGCCCTCCATCATTCACTACCAAAAAGGTCTTCTCACAAATTCACTCACGTTATTTTGTGCAAGAGTGTATACTTAAATTATACTATATGTAAAGTCTAAGTTCTAGAGGAAAAATGGTGATATAAATAATCTAATATTCATTCTCCTAATTCTTTGCCTTGGTTTCTTGCTCATCTTTTTCAATTCCTCCCAGTCTTGAACTTCATTGTGTTGTCTAAGTCCCATGGCATTGCACCATTATCCCCCTACTTTATACCTTCATTTGAACTCTGAACCGAGTTCAGGGCCAACAAGGCAGCTGTGAGCAGGATGACCAGCATCTTGGAGGAGTCTCTCGAGCTGCTCCCAAGTCTGTGCTGGGGAAGCAAGCCCACAGTCTTTATAAGGAAGGCAGAACAAAGGCAACTTTCATGTCCTTACTGGTGACCTGACCTCACACAGCAGGATACGTTGCATCCCTGATTTTTGTTTGGGACTCTAGCCCATCAAAATGCAGTCGGGAGGAGCTTATCAATGTCTCAGATCCAGATGGTACAACATGAAGTTTGGACAACAATGTTGAAGTGATACAGGAAAAGTTCAGATATTACATATATAGCTCTATCAGTGTTTAAGGTCTATCATTTTTAAAGTCACAGATATTGGCATAAGAGTTACTCAGAGTCTGTTAGATATGATTGTGGATTTTCTTCTATATACATGTATGATTTTGTCCATATTATTCCTGTCATTGAGGTTAAAAACGAATAGCATTTCTGCCATTAAGTGTAAAACTTGATTTATGGTATCATACACAGGTGTTGCATATTTATAAGACTTAGCCAACTGTTTTGTTCAGTTCTCCAATGAGTTAGGACCCCATGCACGGATGCACAGTACATGAGACAAACAAGAATGATAGCCTGTTTGTGCCTAGACAGTGTGTCCAGATTTCCCCAGATTGGGTTCAAATTAGAGGAAGTATGCTAACACAGAAACAGAAGCATGGGTGCTCTGTTCTTTCTAATGTCCTTTGGTGTTAGATAAAGAGGAGTGGCCATAGAGAGCCTGTATAAATGTATTCTCCCATGTTCCATGAATGCTGCTTTTTTCAGCACCACAGGACTCCAACTTTTTAATTGTTGTTTGTAGATGTTAAATTCCATTATGTTTTGTTATTGTTTTCTTCAGGATTTATTCCTTATCAGTGACATGACTCTTGTTTTTTTAGATGCATGATCAAATAGTCTGACATTACCTTCACAGTCTCCATGGGATGGCTTCCTTCGACTGTGTTCTGAGATGCAGTGCTCTGATATTTTCCATCCTGAGCTGTTGAGGATTTTTAACACTATACAATCCAACGGTGTGCTTTTTAGCACCATCTATCTGTCTCTTACATTTCCAATGGATCCCTTGACCTGTCTTTCCAATCAATGTTTACTTTACTCTTTAGCTCATTTGTGATTTGGCCTCATTGATTCAATGCTGCTCTTCTATCCATGTCTTTCATATTAGGAGGCCAGAAGTGAACACCAAAGACAGCTTCATTACTCCTCATGAGCATAGTTTAATTATCTCTCAAAAATTGATTAGCAGATAATCAGGTTTGTTATCACTCAATTTTAAACCAGCAGAGGAAGGTTCATCTCTGTGTGCTCCCAGACAGCCAGGTCTGCAAATTGAGTTATACAATAGTTAGTATTGTTACACAAGGAAACTCTGGAAAAAACAAACAAATGGTTCGCATGTATTTTGTTTAAATGGTTATTTGGTGAGAGCTAATCTTTTTTTAGTCTGTGGTCCTATTCTATTTCTGTTTCAGGTTGGAGTCACTTGACTGTGGGAGGTACACAGCAGAGTTTGTAAATAGCTGCTTTTTCATGTCTGAGACTATATTGGGCTTTCATTATTGCCTAGTTTTTGGTTAAGTTGATAGAAATTGGAAGAGAACTTGGATGAGGTAAAGCAGGATGGACCATTTACTGTGTACATTTAGATGATCCATCATCCAGTGTGGAACAATTTCTTGTGCTGTACATATCAATGTACCTGGCAGTTCACTTCAAATAGTATAGAGATTATCTCAGAAAAAGTCATCAAAATTCTATGGAACAGAAGAGGGATAGCATGGGGGTTGATGCATTACATGGGAGGATGAGAGGGAGATGGAACTGAGATTGATATATAAAATAAGATTGCTTCTAGTTTAAATTTAAAATAGTCACTAAAAAATGTCCTTTCCTGTAGATGCTATGAAATTCTGTAGTATAGCCAGGTGGTTTTATTTCCCCCTTATGGTGATCATAGTTGTATTCTGAATGGGTATTATATTAGCCTTTGGTAATTTTGTATGGTTCTGTTGAAACAGAGACATTTTCACAAGGCTTGTGTAGTTTAATGAAGACAGGAAGTGTTGACTCCTGTGAATATGGTTCGATCTATATTTACAGGATAGTTTTCTAGTGTCTGCAGATACAAGATGGGAATGGTCTGGAGATGAGGGGTCTTGATCATGTGTGGCTTTGATAGACTTTGTACTGAGAAAGTCAGAGAAAGAATAGACGAGAAAGTTAGGCAAACATGTACATGTGTGCCCAGCTGAGGAATTGGCTGTTCTGGTCGAAGTCAGCCCTGCCCTTAGCTAGGTGGGTCCTGCTATAGAGATGTTGGTTTTTCCAAATGTCACAAAACTAGAGCCCTTTGCTTGACCTTTTCCAGTGTTAACACTGCGTCAAAGAGATTATTGTTTTATGCAAGAGAAATATCACCTCGTATCTCTCCAGAAATAATATAAACATGTTGTGGAGGATGTGAGAAAGGACATTCAGTGATTAATATTTATGCTGATTAAAGTAATACACATAATGCAAAAGGTTCTTAGGAACATTTAGTGGTTAAAGCATTCGAAGATTAGCTTTTCCATATGATCCAGCTATACATGTTCTGCTTACATTCATGAATAATTCAAATTTATGGCATCACAAAGACATTTTCATGTTCTGTTTGTTACTGAACTCCTGAAAATACCCACAATATAGGACCAGCACATATGCAAGTTCCAGGTTTAGCTTTGTGAAGCTTCAATATTGATGGTCATGGGATAAGCTCTATTTGTCATCCCATTTTTACTCTCAAAGGCTTCCTCTTTGTTCACATTCTCAGCAAAATTTGTTGTTCTTTTCTTGAATCACAGTGACTGTTTTGGCTGATACCAAATGGAATAACCGCACTGTTTTAAATTACATTTCTATGAAAAGTAAATATGTCCAACATTTAAAAAATATTTATTAAACATTTTAAATTTTCCTATTGATACATGTTGCCCTAGAGCCTGGTTTAAAATTACTATGGTGTACTTGGTTCAGAGAAGAGACTAAGACAATTGAACTGGTATAAAGCTATAGGGATGGAAATCTTCCAAGGTCAATTTCTTAAGAGGGAGATTATGCTACTACAGAAAGGCAATCTCTATATGATGAGCACTACCTGGCTTTATGCCTTACAGCAGCTCTGAATTCTTGGGACAGATTTTGAGTTGTAGCGAAGAAAATTGAGTCACCTACTGAAGTTAAAAAAGGTTCAGAGGAAGCCTTTATGGATTTCTTACAACGATTGACATTAGCAGTAAATAGAATGGTACCACATTCAGAAGCTAAAGAAATAATAATTGAAAGTATGGCTTTTGAAAACACTAATGCCCAATGCAAAAGGATGATTAGACATTTAAAGGTAACATAGGCACATTTGGAGGAATGGAGTTGCGAAACAACCAGAATTGATAGTGAAAACCATAATGATGCATGGATAGGAGTGGTGATTTCCAGAACTTTGAAGAAAAATTGAAATGTCAAATGTTTTAATTGTGGCAAAAAATGTCACCTTAAATGGGACATCAAACTGGGCATTCCAGAGACAATGCTTTTCGTAAACATAATCCAAACATAATGTGCATCCCTTCTGGATCATGCAGAAGGTATGGCTAAAGTAGGAATTGGACTAATGAATGTGCATCAACAAAAGAGATTCAAGGCAACACTTTGCCATCAGGAAACTCCTTGAGGGGTCAGCCTCAGGCCCCCAGGCCAAATCCAGCTCCATTATTTCCTATCACTATGGAAACTTCTTCTCAGAGCAATTAAAGAACTTAATACCTGTTGTTAGAAGCCATATTCCTCTGGATGATAGAATCAGAAGTAAGCATAAACCAAAAATTGATAAAGATTAGATTAGGAATTTCCCCAAAGTTCGGCTTGACAGGTTTATGTTTTTTTCTTTTCAGGAAAATAAAAACAATCATCTTGAGGAATTTAAAGACCTTTGTACAAATAAGCATACAAAGAACAAGAGAGAACTACCCAGAAAAAAATACCAGGAAAAGAAATAATCTGACCTAATGTGATCTTGCAAGTCTCCTAAAAGAAGATAGAACTCCATGACAGTGATTCTACCAGAACAATAACAACTCCACTAAACTGAAACATTAATCAAAAATCAGGTTTGGATTAAAACTTCTCAGAACAATTTTGAAATAGCTAGCAGAGATGACCCAGCCTCTCAAACTGCTGTAGCCATGACTTGAGACAAGCCCTGCACTTTCCCATCATGCAGAGACTGGACAAAAGTGATACAGCTACCTTTCCTAGGAATTGTCAATTAACCCAAAATTTTGTTTTCAGGATTATCTAAAGATGCTGTCACCCCGAGACAGCACGAATAAATTTAAGAGCATAATGCCAATAAGAGGTGGGGTGGCTGCTGTTTTGTTTTTGTTTGTCTTTCAATGTATCATTGATCTTTGTCATTGTTAGCAGGGTTGGTTATAAGTTGTTATTGATAACAGTCAGGAAAAAAACCTAAAGAGAGGAGATAGATTCAGGTCTCTTGTTCTGGTCAGAGCAGGAGGAGTAACCAGACCATGCTGGGGAAACCCACAGAAACAGCTGATCTGAGCAAGTGGCAACTCATGGAATCCAGTCTGACAGCAGGGGAACCAACATGGGACTAAACCAGTCCCTTTGAACATGGGTGTCAGGTAGGCGCACTGGGCAGTCTATGGGGCCTCTGCCAGTGGAACCAGGATATATCCCTAGTGCATGAATGGACTTCAGGAGCCCATTTCCCATGGAGGGATACTCTTCTAGCCTAGATACTCAGGAGAAGGCCTAGGCTCTGCCCCAAATGACTTGACAGATTTTGATGATCCTCCATGGGAGGCCTCACCCTTCCTGGTGAGTGGAGGTGGGATAGGATGGGGGGTTGGTGTGAGGCATGGGAAAGAGAGAGAATTGGGATTGATACGTAAAATGAAATTCTTTCTAATTTAAATAATATTTATAAGAAATACTGGACAAGAAAGTGCCCTTGTC